AGTTTAGGGTATAGACTCTGAGGCCATACAATCTCTAGTGGGATTACCATCGTCCCCAGTAACTTGCTATGGGACTTTGGACAAGTCACTTGTCTCTCCAAAGTCTCAGTTTTATAATCTGTAAAATGGAGCTAATGGCAGTACCTTCATCAGAGGGCTATTTTGATGGTGAAATGAGATGATGCACAAAAAGTGCTGACAGCAGTGCCTGGCGTGGAGTCAGGTTCTGTTACTAATAGGTGTTAGGATGTCGATAAAGTACTAGGTACAGGAGAGGTCACATTAACCAAGGCCCCACTGGGACTCGTCCATAAGTTTTATACATGCATGGTGAACACCTACTGTGTGCCAGGCTCTCTGCAGGTTGTTAGGGGTTTGGAGATGAATCAGCCTGATCTCCAGGTGTTAGAATCTCCTCCCACCCAGAACCTCAGGAGCCAGTGGTGGGAACTGGATGGGGGACAGAGGGATAGTATGAGAGCCTGGTTCAAGATTGTCCTCGTCCTCTCAGAGTTTGCCCTTGTCTTAGATGTACTTGTGGGGAGCCCCTGCCAGGAGTAATAGGCCCAGGTCTGGGTCCTGCCATGGGCTAGTCCTGACACCCAAGATGGAGCAGGTCTCCCAGAAGCCCCCTCCCAGATGTGGCAGCAGGGAAGTAAATGACCTCTTCCTTTGCCTTTCAAGCTCTTGGGCACTGACCCCCAGCTATGTCCATATTGCTGCACTTGACCATTTACCCCACCCGCAGGAGGCCCACAGGTGAAAACTGCTATCTCACTCTTCTGCTCAGAAGCTAGTAGTGCAGTGGTTCTCAACCTTGGCTGCACATTAGAATCCAGAAATCAGGATTTTAAAAAGATTCCCAGGTGATTCTAATGTGCAGCCAAGGTTGAGAACCACTGTTGTAGTGGCTCCCCAGGTCCCTCCGGGAAAAAGCCCGAGTCCTCATTATGGCCTCAGGCCCGACTGTAGGATCCTAACTTTGCTTGGGTCATGGACCCCTCATCAGTCAGGGGAAGCCCCTGGACCTTTCTCAGAATAATGCTTTTAACTGAATAAAATGATATACACAGAATCATTGGGTTAGAAGGGAAACCAATTGTATTGAAGTGCAGCTATTGACATATTTTTAAAACAAATTTGTTATGTAATGACATGTTTCTATATTAACCCATTATATAACACAGTCTAGTGGCAGGACTGATAGCAGCTGTGATACTGAAGTCGTGATAAGTGTAACTGGCACAACTGTGAAGTTATGAAGATATCTGACTCGTAGGGCTGACAATATTCCAGGCATGCTAACACTACCATCCTTTATCGCCTACACTCATAACGGAAGAAAAAGCTACATGTCAGTTTGAGATTACTGAAAATAAACATGTAATATTTCCATCCTAGTTTAAGGATTCTCTAAGTTTATTCTTAGACCCCTGGGCCTGGGAGTCTCAATTATAAGCCCCTGTGCATGGTCCTTTCTGTCCTCTTCCCCGTCCACCCTGCTCCAGCCACACTGGCCTCCTCCCACACATCCTTTTCAAACACTGCAGACATGCTCCCACCCCAGGGCCTTAGCACTGTCTGTCCCTCTGCCTGGAACAGTCTTCCCCAGATCCCTGTGTGGATCACTGCCTCACTTCATTCAAACCTTTGCTCAAAGGTCACCTTCTCAAAGAGGCTGCCCCAATGGATTACCCTATTTAAAATGATCACCTGTCTCCATTGTACCCTGACATCCCCAATTCTTACCCTGATGTATTTTTTCTTTTTTCTGTCGCACTCACCATCTTTTAATATGATATCCTATCATATTAACTGCTTATCTGTCTTCTCCCACTAGAATGTCAGCTTCCTGAGGACAGAGATCCTTGTTCACTGCTGAGTCTCCCATACTTAGAACAAGACCTAGCACAGAGTAGGCACTTGATAAATAAGTGTTGGAAAGTGATGAATTTATAAGCCATAGGTGTTACTTTTTTTTTTTATAAAAAAGGTATTTGATTCTGTCAACCTAAAACTGCTTTAAAATATAAAATTTATTAATTTAAAAGCAAGGTATTTGAGATAAATAAACTAAGGCTCAGAGACTCTAAGTGTCTTTTGCAAAATCACACAGCAACTAAATGCCTGGGAAGAGACACCAATTCAACCCATCACAGTTGCCTCAGAAACAAGGGCTTGGTGCGGGGGGACAGTGCCTGACCATGACAATGAAGAGAATTTGCCCAGAGATGGCTGATGTCTGGTCACACTGAGTGGTGACCACCTAAGTCTGCTCCGGCCCCCAGGAGGCAGAGATGGCAGATGGCCTTGGCGACTGCATGCCCTTCCTCTGGGCCTGGCTTCCTCCTGCCTCCCCTCCCCTGCAGGATGGCGCGTGGGCTCTGGCCTTCAACTCAGCTAAAGGAGAAAGTCTCCTTGGCCGCTTGCCCATGTGACCTGAGGCAGCTCCAAGCAGGACTGTTACGCCTCTAAAGATAGTCCCCTTCCCAGGCAGCAGCCCCACCTGGCACCCTCACTGGAATCTCAGGGCAGGACAGATGCCCTGCCAGGACAGAGGCCAAATGTCTGGACTTGCCAAGGGCAAGGGCTTGGTTTGGGTTCTGTTTCCATCCATTCAGAGGCCCCAGCTTGGCCCTGAAGCTGGATGACTGGGCGGAGCCTGACCTCCGAGGTAGGAGGATGCCAGGATAGGCCAGAAGGGAACGGGGCGGTTTGGCTTCAGTCAAACTCCAGCCTCAACCACTCTGGGGCTTCTCCAGGGCAGTCACTGCCCATGAGCTCAAATGTACACATACACAGGCGTTCTCACTCATGTATACTCACTCCTGTCCACACTAATGCACACGTGTTCATATAATACTTGAAGACTCACACTTACTGGTACACTCATCCATATACACACATGCACACAGAGACACACACACACATTTGTTCATTCACACAGTTGCTACTCACGCTCAGGCACACACACTAACACACCCAGACCCAACAGATACACCCCCGGGTGCTCACTCTCTGCCACGGTTCCTCCCCTTCTCAGACAGACCCAGCAGTTCCCTCCCACAGCCTGTCTCCTGCGTGGTCTGAATGTAGTGTCAGTTCCCTGCAGGTCTGCAGCCCCTTGTTTTACTAATGAGAAAGAGGCGGCTCAGGAAGGGGCAGTGATAGCTCTAAGGTCACACAGCATTGACATGGCAGAGCCAGGGTGAGGATTTGAGAGCCTGCCTCCCAGTGCCATCTGCAGGACCTGCTCTGGCTAAGGCAGCAAATGAATTTGTGAATGAGTGTTGTGAGTTTCGGTGCCAATTACCTCTCCCTCCCCACAGTTCACTAAACAGAAGGGGGTGTTCGTGTTAGCGGTGAGCATGGGGCATGAAGCACTCTTAAGACATAACCAGGAGTTGTGTGGTGTGTGTGTGTGTGTGTGTGTGTGTGTGTGTGTGTGTGTGTGATATCAGTGATGTTAAAAACCATGTATTAACCTCCTGTCTGGGACTTTACCCACATCTCCACCTTGAGCCAGCCTTGAAGTGGATTACATTCCTCATTTCACAGAAACTGATCAGAGGGGTACAGTGACTTGCCCAAAGTCACACAGCAAATAAACAACAGAACCAGGTTTTAAGTCCATGTCTGTCTGCCTTCAAAACCTAGTCCAATGCAAGTAGCTAAGATACATTACCTCTACTGTATGCCAGGCACTGTTCCACAGGAACTAATTATCTAATTCGCACAACAGTCCTCTGAGGGAATTGCCATTGGGACTCCCATTGGTCAGGTGAGGAAACTGAGGCACACAGATGTAAAACTATTTGTAAAGCCAAGTTCAGCAAGTAAGTGCTATAGGGATTTGAATTGACACAGTCTGGCACCCAGCCCAACATTCGGAACATGACCCCATGCTGTGTCTTCTGGGTCTTTAACTCCGGACATCAGGGAGGGAGGCTGGGGATGCCCAGTTCCCAGAGCTTCCTATTGGCTGTGGGACACTGATGCTTGATGCTCAGGATGGGTGGAGGCACTTGCCATCTTTGTGTGGGGGCGCGGGGCGGGGGGGAGGCCTTGGGTAAGTCCAGCCTTCTTTCTGAGTCTCAGTCAACAGAAAGGGGACATTTGGACGAGGTGATTGCTGTTTTCCAGCTCAGAAATTTTGGGCTGGTTTAGGACATGCCCCTACTTCAAGGCTCTCCATTAGCTTCTACCAGCTCAAATGTTTGTCTGGGACCCTCTGGAGACATAGGGGAAAAGCTAAGGAGGGGGCAGATCCAGGATTCCCTGGAAGGAGCCCACAGGGCAGAGAGCACTGGTCTGGAGGGTCAAGAACCATTGCTCGCAGGTTTAGGTCTGCCACTAAATTGCTGTGTGACTTTGGGTAAGTTACTTATTCTCTCTGGCCTTTCGTTTTCTTATCAGTAAAAATAAGATAGTCCCTGCTCTGCCCTCTTCTGAGAGGCTACTATGAGCATCCAGCAACCAGATGGGAAAGGTATTTGGGGACAGTAAAGGGCTCGATAGATATTGGCAAGTTCTTTTTTTCCTCAAATAATTTGAAAAATTTAGCTGCTGATGATAAGAATTTCTGCAAATTTCCTGGCCGACTCCACCCCTGGAGACCAGGTTGAGAGTCCAATCATGATAATGATAATTGGGAATTGAGTGCCATCTATACACCAGACACTGGATTGGTACTATTAATACTTCCATTTTGCAAATAAGGAGACTGAAGCTCAGAAAGTTTAAGGAATCTGCTCAAACACAGCAGAGCCAGGAATTTTATCCCCAGGTATGCCCAGCTGTGAAACCCAGCCCCATAACCACCAGGCCCTAGGCCCCTGGGAGATAGTCCCCCTACCCAGGGGCCCAAGAATGGCCTGGAAGAAACAGTGTCCCCTCCTGTGTGTGACCTCTGACCTCCCTCCCCACATGCCCAATCCCACCTGGGCAGAGTGTCCCTGTGTGTCCACCTGCCTTCCCCGCTCTGACCCTGGCCCCTGTAGGTGCGGCTGGTGATTGCAGAGAAGGGCCTGGCATGTGAGGAGCGGGACGTGAGCCTGCCTCAGAGTGAGCACAAGGAGCCCTGGTTCATGCGGCTCAACCTGGGTGAGGAGGTGCCCGTCATCATCCATCGCGACAACATCATCAGTGACTACGACCAGATCATCGACTATGTGGAGCGCACCTTCACAGGAGGTATGGCTGCCACCCCCACCAGAGGCCCTGCAGGTTCAGATGGGGCCCCAGAGCCTTGGGAAGCCTTCAGAAACCCACTGGAGCCATGGGCAAGGCTCAGTCTCCCCCAAGATGAATCACGGGCTCAAATACCCCTAGGAGCTGCATAGCCACAGATCTCCACAACACCCCCACTCTGGTACTACTACAGAGAAAGGGCATGGTCCAGACACCCTTCCCCTTGAAGCTCTGGGGCTATAGCTTCCTTCCTCAAAAATTCTAGAATCACAGGCATGGCCACAGACCCTTGGGATCCCCTCGGGCATGAACAGTCCCCACAGTCAGGGTAGAGATCTCCCAAGGATGCCAGGGCACCAGCAGACCCAGCCCCCTGAAACCTATAAGCATAGTCAGGGCCGTGGACTCCCAGGAAGCCCACAGACATGGGCCCAGATATCCCAGAACCTTACAGACAAGAATAGGGCTGACACCCCAGAACCCCATAGAATCCTATGTCCCCTTCCCTCCCTCCCTCTGGCCTTGCTTCGGTTCAGGAGCTCACAGCCCACAGTGGAGGCTGCAAACAGCAGCTGAGAGGGGATCAGGGACCAGACACGCACAGTTTAAAAAGAATATGAATTAGTTGCCAACATTTAAAAATCAAGGAGATCTAATCGATGTGCTTTCTTTCACATTGATATTTCTCTCTTTGCCTCTCTCCTCTACTCTCTCTAAAAGTCAATGGAAAAATATCCTCGAGCATTAACAATAAAAATCAAAGAGAGTTGCATTTTAAACGTCCAGGTTTCCAGCTTCTGTTGAAGGCTGGCAGTCAGGAGCCCAGGCTCCCGCCTGCCCCTCAGAGGACAGCTTGGAGGTCTCCAGTGAGGAGGGGTGGTGGGCTGGACCACTAGGATCCCCTGTCAACTGGATGAGGACTGTATCTCAAGGAGTCCGGGAAAGGGTGTGGGCCGCGGACCTCTGGGCCACAACATTTTGGATTTCCAGGATGCTGGGGTTGGAAGTTGGGGTGCCAGAGGTTGGCCTCTCTGAATCAGGGGCAGGTGGCCGAGTCGGGCCTCATGCCCCTGGTCCAGCCCCGGCTGTGTCTCGCAGAGCACGTGGTAGCCCTGATGCCCGAGGCGGGCAGCCCACAGCACGCACGGGTGCTGCAGTACCGCGAGCTGCTGGACTCACTGCCCATGGACGCCTACACACACGGCTGCATCCTGCACCCCGAGCTCACCACCGACTCCATGATCCCCAAGTACGCCACGGCTGAGATCCGCAGTGAGTGCCCGGGGCAGTGCACCAGTCCCTTGCTGACCCCCTTCATTGCCCGCCTGCTCCCTTTCAATGGGAATCCTTCTCCTCTTGCTCTCACTGGTGTATCTTACTCTCCTTTTCCCTCCTTCTCTCCTCTCTCTGTCCCTTTCTGTCTCAGTTAATCTCTCTGGGTCTCTCTCTCTCTCACTCGTTTTCTCTACATCTCTCTGGCCTTCCATCTCATTCACCCTGTATTACACTGAATGTCTCTCCCTCTATTGCGGTCTCTGTCTCTCATTCCCATCTCCTGCCCCCTACTCTTGTCCTGCCATCCCATACAGAGGCTACAAGGCTGTTTATCTCCCTAGAATTTTGTCTATTGTTCATGGAAAATTGGGCACCTCCCCACAGGAGTCCCAGCTCCAGACACCTAGGGTTGGGGCCCAGGGAGGTCAGGGCTATGGTTGGTGGCCCAGCATTGAGTGACATCAGTGTTGGCACCACCAAGGAAGGCTGCCCAGATATGGCAAGGCCCCCTATAGGGTTTCTGATTTCTAATTCAAGCATCACCCATGTGCTGGTAGCCTGGACGTGCCCATGGCCTAGTTCATCCTTTTGTTTCCAGCATCCAGTAAATGGGGGTTAGATTAAATCAGAGTACCCATCCACAAGTGTTTACAGACTTTTGTCCAGGCTCTGTGCAGAAACCATGGGGTCCTACAGACAGACAAAGCATGATAATTCGAAGTAGATGATAGGTGCCCAGTAAATGGTCACCCCCTCTGAAAGGAATAAGTTTAATGTTTAAAGGTGGGAAGGGGGCAGATTGTGGAACTCAAGCTCATCTTTGAACAAGATTCAGGATTTATCTATATTGTCCCATCCCCATTCAATCAAAAATATTTGTGAGGTTTTTATTTTTTAAATATATTTTATTGATTTTTTACAGAGAGGAAGGAAGAGAGATAGAGAGTTAGAAACATTGATGAGAAAGAAACATCGATCAGCTGCCTCCTGCACATCTCCCACTAGGGATGTGCCCGCAACCAAGGTACATGCCCTTGACCAGAATCGAACCTGGGACCTTTCAGTCCACAGGCCGACGCTGTATACACTGAGCCAAACTGGTTTCGGCTGTGAGGTTTTTTTATTACCCAAACCCTGGGCCAGGGGCTTAGGACAGATGAGGACAGACATAGCTTCTATCCTCCCAGGGTCACAGTTCCATGGAAGCAGAAAGACAAATGACCAGGTAATTATACCCTTTCCTGGACTCCTTAGTGTGGGATAAGTAAATTTGAACAACTTCTCCAGGACAGTCTGACCCTTTATATCAAACATAGAAAGGACCAGATCTTGGAGATTATCTTGCAGTTACATTTGGGTGTGTGCGCCAAGAAGTATGTACATGGATATTCATTGCAGTATAGGAAGTGCTCGCAAGAGGATGGAAGTAACCCAGTTGTCCATGAGTTGGGAACTGGGTAAATAAATTCTAGACCTCTCACACAATAGAATACTGTGCAGCTGTTTAAAAAAAATAAAGAAGCATATGGAATGCTAAGATGTATTAGAGAGTAGGGAAAAAAAGTGAAGGGGAGCCGAAACTGGTTTGGCTCGGTGGACAGAGTGTCAGCCTACGGACTGAAGGGTCCCAGGTTTGATTCCGGTCAAGGGCATGTACCTGGGTTGCGGGCACATCCCCAGTAGGAGATGTGCGGGAGGCAGCTGATCGATGTGTCTCTCTCATCAATGTTTCTAACTATCTCTCTCCCTTCCTCTCTGTAAAAAATCAATAAAATATATTTTTTAAAAAACGTGAAAGGGAAAAAAAATCAGTGTGCTATTTAGCATATTTAGAAAGAGGTTAAATTAGATGCACAAGTGCTTGCAAAATAAGGAGTATTTCTGGAAGGATGCATGAGAAGTTGCCAGTAGTGCTTGCTTTGGGGGAGTGGAAATAAGGGACTACAGAATGAGAGGAGAGTTACTCTTCACACAACATTCTTTAATGTTGTTAGAATTTTTAAACAAGTATGTATGCATAATCTGTTCAAAACCAAACTGTTTGATAAGGAGGCTGTGGGAGCATAGAAGATGCCCATCCCAACCACTGGGGTCATGGAGGATTCTGAAATGCAGCAATGTCCAGGGATGACCCACACCCAAGGATAAGTTAAAAGGGGAAGGAGAAGGAGAGTCCTTTCAGATTCAAGGGTAGGAGAGGGCATGGTGTGTTCTGGGAACCGAAGGAAGTTCAATGTGGTTGAAGTATAGCCCAAGGATGATAGTGTGAGTCTGAGGAGCAGGTCTGGCAGAACTGGAATTTTATCCAAAGAGCAGTGAGTGGAGAAACAGTGATGGGAAGTGACATGATTGGATCCGCATTTTACAAAGATCACCCAACTGAGAATGGGCAGAGCAGTCAGGAGGTCCTGACTGTCAGCTAGGTGAGCAATGATAGTGGCCTGGACTAGGCAGAGGTAGTCCTAAGTGTTTCTGGAGGCTGGAGGTGCTCCCCCTTCCTACTCTGGGCCATTTGGAGGTACCTAGAAGGCATTGTGGGGGTGTCCAGAGCAGGCCAAGCCTGCTTCCTCCTTTGAAGAGGCTGAAAGGATCCCAGGGCTCCAGCTCAGCTGGAGAGGGGTGGAGAGACATCACAGGATACAAAAGTCCAAGGTCTTCCCTTGGCCTGGTCTATCCCCCTGGTGTCTGAAGAGAGCCATAGGGCAACCCCAGTGACTATCAAGAGAGAAGATGCTGTACTTGACCTTCAAATTCATAAAACATCAATGAGGTTTAATATAGCCCCAAAGTAGAAAGACCTGGGAATGTGTTTATTGGGTTTTTATCAGGCCAGGAGAAGGGTAGTGAATGGAGAAATCTCAGAAGTCAGAAATTTAACAATTTTTGTATACCCATTTACTTAATCATTTCATTCATTCATTCATTCATTCATTCCTTCCTTTATTCATTTAACACTCACTGAGCTCTTTCTGTACCAGGTCTGCGCTGGGTTTTAAGAGAACAGAGATAAATCTGACATAGCCACTTCTTTCCAGAAGCTCAGATTCTAGTGGGAGACACAAACATCCAGAGATAAGTACATGAGCATCAAATCTCCATGTGCAGCAGAACAGGTTGTGCACTGCACAATCCAGGGGGCACTTTTCTCATAGACGACAGTGTGAATGGAATTGTGCGTGGCAGCTCTGAGTAGTGTGTCTGCATTCTCTGGCAGAAACCTGCACCACATACACTGGATGACTAAGGCACTGAGTGATCAGTTTTCCTAGAAAATCAGGAAAGGCTTCATGGAAGAGGTGGTCTTATGCTGTATCTGGAAGGGGATTTTCAGGAATACAGAAGACTATTCTGGGAGGAAGAAGAATGTGAGCAATGGCCTGGAGGTTTGAAATGGCCAGGCACATTCAGGAAATGTTAAGTATTTACTAGTAGAGTGGCTAAAATGTTACCATCTGGAGATAGGGACAGTTGGGGGAGCTCAGTGAAAGATGGAGTCAATGTGGGGAGAAGAAGTGGATCCTGTATTGTTGGTGGTCTTGTCCCACTTCGGGCATCCATTTATGCCGGGGTTCATGTCCCAGCATCAAGAAGGGTTCAGGAATCTGGAAAAGGGGCTGCGCGTAGATGACATAGGAATCCAGAGACTAATAAAGAGTCCGGAGACGAGATATAATTTTGAAAGGCATTGGGGGGTCAGAGGACCTTCAGCTAAAGGAACTGAAGAGTGCCTCCTTGTCTAGGACCCTTGCTTTTATTAACACAATTTGTCCTAAGGCAAGGTGGAGATAATACACTTACATGTAGATTAAGATGCCCTTTAACTGTCTGGCAGCCACAATCAGTTTCCTATTCAGGTTTGGGGAAATGCCTTTAGCCATTCCCAGATGGTGACTACATGTGTGACTCAACCCTGTTGAGTCCCCAAGTCTCATCAACCTTTTGATGAAACTCTTAAAATTATGACATGCTGGAATTGGTCTATGGCAATCCTGCTGGGTCTTTTAAGACCAGTTGAGGAGCTTGGACATTATCTGAGGGCAGTGAGGAGCCTGGGATGGGTTTTAAGTAGGGAGTGGCATGATCAACTGCGTTTTGAGGAAGATGTCCCTGCCAGAGTGGGAAAGGGCTTAGAGTGGAGAAAGTGCAGGTGACAGGGGTAAATCATAATCATCCAAGCAAAAGATTAACAGGGAGAGTGAAAGGTTGAAAGGGAGAAGGTAAGTATGAAAAATATTAAGGTGAAGAATCAACAGCACCTGGGCTGATTTGGTGTGGGGAGGAGGGAGATGGAGGGGTTGAGGACAATCCTTAGGCATCTGGCTTTGCTTCGTGTGTGGGGGGATGCTGCAATCTGGGGAGAATGCAGGGAAGATGATGAGATTGGTCGGGCCAGGATGTCTTCAAGAAGCCCAAGGATGTCCAAATTGAGTTGGGGCCCAGGGGAAGGGGCAGAGCAGGATTGGGGTGCCACCACATGCTTGATCTACCATGTCCAAGACTTATTGACCAAGAATTCCAGAGAATCCTGCCCCAATAAGGGAACAGACCCAAGATCTTATCCCACTTAATATTTCCACCTCCTCTTGTAAAACCCATAGTTCATAGTTTACACTTTCAACGTTAAAAATTTTCAAAGTTAGATTATAGGACACTACCTTTCTCCCATTAAGGATAATTCTCAAAATACTGGCTTGAATTCCCATCATTGACCTACTTTCTTTCACACTTGCCTTTTTGGCATCAAGGTCAGTTTTCCAAGGAAAGATGGGTCATCGAGTACCTTAATCTTCGGGGAAGTTGCCTCACCATAGGTGGAAGTTTCAAGACACTCTTACAGTTTTTCCTTGTAGGGGTTCAATGAATGAACACTAGACCAAGAATCAGGCAGACCCATTTTCAAAACATGCTTGTTATTCATGTGTGCGGAACATTATTTAGCCCCTCAGAACCTGTTTCCTCACTACAGAAGGGGTTTTGGGGACACACTGATGTAGGAGTTTTTCCAAGTTTAGCATTATATTCATGCCTGACAAACTCCTGCTCATCCCCAAGAATAGAGTGGCCTCCTCAGTGAGGTTTCTTGACGCCTGTCCCCCAGGCAGGCGGCTCTCTGGGTCCCACGGCATTCTGTCCACTCTTCATTACAGATTGACCATGCTGTTTTATAGGGGTTTCTTTAGATGTCTGTCTCTCCCACTAGCCTGAGCCTCCGGCAGGGTGGCATCTCACCCATCCGTGTGTTGCAGCCCGTTGTGCCTACCAAGTGTTGGCTGTTGATACTGTTACTTCCCAAACCAATGTGTGCATGGGACCTATTCCAAGTCTGTGGGGGAAGGGGTGGGGTACACTGAGTAACAGAAGGACAGGACCTTTCCTGTTCTTTCCCCAGGACATTTAGCCAACGCCACCACGGACCTCATGAAATTGGACCATGAAGAGGAGCCCCAGCTCTCTGAGCCCTATCTTTCTAAACAGAAGAAGCTCATGGTGAGTGCCTCCGGCCCTGCTCATTCCTCTTTCCCACCATCTTTTCCATGGAGAAGAACAACTGGGAGAAGCTGGTCCTAGGTAGAGGATCAGTTGGTGACATGAAATGGGAAATCCATTGTTTGCTTTTCCAGTCCTGTCTCCTCTGTCATTTACTGGCTATTTGACCTTGGGCAAGCCACTCTCCTAGAGCCTCAGTTTCCTCATGTGTTGGGTGTGTTCTTAATAGCAGGGCCTGCACTGGACAGAGGTTCTTGGGTACTGAGGGAGTGTTCTGAGGAGAACTCAGAAGGATGGGAGGGATGGACAAGAGGAAAGGACCAAGTTCATCTATTCCCACAGGGAGCTCTGGACAGCATAAATGGCACCACAAGGTCAATCCCCCTTGAGGCCAGGGGCCAGCCTTTTATACCCTTATATCAGTCAGCCATTGGCTACAGATTGCCTGGTGGGGGGTTGAAGGGTTGAAAGGGTGTGGGATAACCTTCCAAGTATTTCTGGGCACCTCCTCACTGGCCAAGAGCAGTTCTCTGAAGAAGGGTCAGCTATGAGCCACTATCAACCAACCTTCATAGCAGCTGGTGTATGAGAGTACCAGCCCATGCAAGGGATCTGGGCAGGACAGCCAAGCTTACAGGAATATGGTGAGCTCCAGCTGAGGGTGCTATGATAACAGTGGGCATCCTATACTCTTGAGGGGATATTTGGAGATTGGATTTGCAGAGCTGGTCATCCCAGCTCTATTGAGGCCAACTCAGCTTCTCTGGCTCCTGCCTACCCTGCTCCTAGGCCAAGATCCTGGAGCATGATGATGTGAGTTACCTGAAGAAGATCCTTGGGGAGCTGGCCATGGTGCTGGACCAGATAGAAGCCGAGCTGGAGAAGAGGAAACTTGAGAATGAGGGTGGGTACCAGCCCTGGGGTAGGTGGGTGCTGCTGCCCATCCACTCTTCCCCACCCTGACCTTGACCAGTCCAGCTTCTTTTTTTCCTAAAGATTTCAGAGGACCCCCTCCCAGGGTTAGGATCATGGGCCACGGAGTCAGGCAGACCTAGGTTTAAGTCTTAGCTTGGCTACTTACTAGTTGAGTGACCATGGTTCAGATACTTCACCTCCCTGGATCTCAGTTTCCACATGTAAAATGAGGACAGTAATAAGACCTACCTAAGATAAATGATGAGAAATTACATAAAATAATACATTTAGAGTGCTTAGATCACTTAGCTCACAATAGGTATTTAATGAAGGTTGGTGAAGATGATGATGGTGATGGTGACTTCCCCCTGATCAGAGATGAATATTATGGCTTCTTTGTGCTGCAGCCAGACATTCAGGCTTGCCCAGACTCTCTGACCTTGACTCTTTCTGTTCTCAAGTGGCTCTCTTCTCTGGATCCTGAGCAGACCAGCTTCATTCCCACCTCCATACCTTTGCTCCTGCAGTACTTCCAGCCTGGAGGACCCTATCCACCCTCCCCTTTTTCCTCTTGCATAACATCTTTGCCACAGCTCTTCTTCAGATTTTATTCTGGACCTCCCCGTTGCTCTCTTTTAGACAGACTTAGTCTTGTCTCTTCAACTATGCAATTTATGGAGCCTGTGCAATAGTGCTGCTACAGTTACAGCTACACACACACACACACACACACACACACACACACACACTTCTACTAGGAGCACAGTGACCTAGAAGATAAGTTTAGAGTCAGACAGGTTTGAGTTAGAGTTCCACCTTTGCTGCCTGTACTGTGTGACTTGGACAGGTTATTTTCCCTATTGGAGCCTCAGTCTCCTCACCTGTAAAATGGGATGATAAAAATGCAACTTATGTTAACCCCACCTCGTTGGACTCTTGTAAAAAGTAAAAGCACACAGTAAAGTGCCGGGAGCACAGTAGTTTAAGAACATATGACAGCTAAAGACGTGTACATTCTCCAGATGAGAAAACTAAGGCTCAGAGAAACGAAGTGACTTGTTCAGGGTGACTTGCACACAGCTTTTAAACAGCATAGTTAGGGCAAGCACAGGTTCCCTCTTAATGGGTCCAGTGTTCTTCCAGCATCTCACAACTGAGGCCTTGAGCACAAAGCACACACGGGTCCCTAAAGTCCTCAACAGGGACATTGTCATGTGTAATGAAGCCAGCTGCCTTAAATCCCCTCTAGAAAAAAGTATGGTATGGCTAAGAGAGGACAGTAATACATCCCTCCAGGAGGAACTTTTTCAGTTCTGTCAGAGAGGGTGCTGAGGGAGCCAGTACAGAAGAGTGCTTAGGGGCAAAGCCCCAGCTCTGCCATTCTCACTGGGTGAGCTTAATTCTCAGGTGTATTTCATATATTTATCCATTAATTTGTTAGGACTGCCATCACAAAATACCACAGACTGGATGGCTTAAACAACAGACCTACTTATTTTCTCATGAACCTGGAGCTAGAAGTCTAAGATCAAGGTGTTGGTTTCTTCTGGGGTTCAGTTTCTTTTGAGGCCTCTCTACTGGGCTTACAAATGGCTGCATCTTGCTGTGTCTTCACATGGTCTTTCCTCTGTGGACGTGCCCTTGGTGTCTGCACAGCAAAATGTCCTCCTCTTATGAGGACCCCAGCTAGATTGGACTAGGACCCACCCTAATAGCCTCATTTTAACTTACTTCTTTATTTTATTTTTATTTATTGATTTGGGGGAGAGAGAGGAAGGGGGAGAGAGAGAAAGAAAGAGAGAAACATCGATTTGTTGTTCCACTTACTTACGCATTCATTGGTTGATACTTGTATGTGCCCTGACCCGGGATTGAACTCACAACCTTGGCGTATCGGGATGACGCTCTTACCAATTGAGCTACCCAGCCAGGGCAAACTTACTTCTTTAAAGACTGTTTCTCCAAATACAGCCACTGTCTGAGATCCTGGGGGGTTAAAACTTCAACATATGAATTCTGGAGGGACACAATTCAGCCCATAATGATTTATGTTTTTAACAACACTTACTGTGTGCCAGGCACTGTTTTAAGTGTTTCACATATTTCAACTTATTTAATCCCATAATAACTCTAGGAGGTATGTAATATGAGTAACCCCATTTAACAGATGAAAAAATTAAGGCACAGAGAGGTTCAATAATCTCCCAAGGTTACACAGATAGAAGTGGTGGAGGCTGGATTCAAACACTGGCTAGAGTCATTCTTAAGCACTAGTTCTGGCTCCTCTTAAGTTCTGTAAAAGGGTGTTAAATGAGCACCTACTTCACAGGGCTTTTGTGAGGATGAGTGAGAAAATGCATGTAAGGGGCTCAGCACATTGCCTGGCACATGGCATTAAAAGTGTCTGCCAATATTAGCTGCTGTTATGATCAAGGGAGACATGGAGTGTGACCTAGATGGAGGCCAGAGTTGACGGTCCTGGGGAAGAGCAGTAGACACATTCCTCAGGTGGTTCTAGCCTGTGAGCCTCCTGCCCTCACTTTCTGCTTTTGTCCTGAGGTCTTCCAAGAGGAGGCAGCATTGCACTGCCCGATAGCCAGATGAATGGGGTTGTTTGAGATGGAGAGGTGTGGGCAGTCCTTGTGTTCCTCCAGGCTGAGGGAGGCAGCAGAGGCCCAGGGGGGTGGCTATCAGTTTTAAAGGTCATACTAGCTGGGCCCACATGGTCTCTGGTGCTCAGTCACCTACCAGGGCACCTCCAAACCTCCACTTCTCTCTGTGTGGGGCAGAGGTATTGTAATGTCATAGTTAAGACCCATAGATGGAGCCAGCTACTGAGTCCTGATATGGACAAGGGGGACCGAGTGTTCACTTTGAGACACAGTAAGTTTGAGATGCCTTTTAGACGCACAAGAGGGTATCACATAAGCCATTGGATATTCTAGTATCATTTTAAAAGGAGAAGTCAGAATTTAGAGATAAAGATTTATAAGTCTTTAGCATATATGTGGTGCTTAAAGCCACAGAATTGAATGATTTCATTTAGGAGAGAGTGGAGACAAAGAGGCGGATCAAGAACTGCTGTATTAGTTATCTACTGCTGCATAACAAATTGCTCCTGGACTTAGTAGCTTAAGCAGAAAGCACTTCTTATATCACACACGGGTCAGGAATTTTGGAGCAGCTTAGCTGGGTGGTCTGATTAAGGTTGTATAACGCAGGCTGTAGTCAAGCTGTTGGTTGGGGCTCTGGTCATTTGAGCTGGAAGATTGGCTTCCAAGATGGATCCTAACTAGATGTCTCAGTCCCCCACTGGCTATTGGCAGGAGAGCTCGGCTCCTCACCACGTGGGCATCTCGGTGGGGCTGCTTGAGTTTCTTTGCAACACGGCAGCTGGCTTTCTCCTGAACAAGTGACCTGTGGGAGGGAGAAGCAGCGGAAGCCACAGTTCCTTCGTGACCTACCATGGGCAGTCACTGTCACTTCTGCCACATTCCTTTCCTTAGTACAAGTCCTGAAATACAGCCCGTAGTCCTGGGAGGAGAATCAATCTGTGGACACATTTTAAAACTCCATGCCTGCCCTGAGGTCCCCTCACATTCAGAGAGGCGTAGGGGCAGAGGGACAGGCAAAACCAACCGACATGGAGTGACCAGTGAGGTAGGAGGAGCCTGTGTCATAGGCTCCCATAAAGGGTCTGAGAGGCTGAGTAAACCAAGGATAGCAAAGCGCCCCTGGATTTGGTCCCATGGCTTTGGTGGTGACCCTACCAAGAGCAGGACAAAAGACTGAAGTTTGTCCTGAACTCAGGACAAAAGACTGAAGAGTGAGTGGGAGGAAGTGTGGTCAAGTAGAGACAACTCTTTTGAGAAGTTTGTCTGTAGAAGGGAATAGAGAGATGGGGTGGGGGCTGAAGAAGTGTGCGGGGCAAAGGGAGGAATTTTTTCTTTTATAGTAGATACAAGGTGTGTTTTCAGGATGGCAGAAATGACCCAGTGAAAGGAGAAAGATGCAGGACCACCGATGCAAAGTCCATGAAAGGACAGAAGGGGTGTGGTCCAGGAAGGACCCCATAGGACACAGGGTTACCCCAAATTGGTAATTGAGGAGGCTTATTATAGGGTCTGTTTATAAATATGTGGGCAGGATTTAGGGAAACCACAAGGAAAAGCGTGGTATCCTGGGCCTGAGGTCGTGAAAGGTGGGAGCAGTTTCAGGAGCTGGACCAGCCGTGGCCAAACTACGGCCCACGGGCCAAATCCTGCCCATTTGAAATGAATAAAACTAAAAAAAAAAAAACCGTACCCTTTTATGTAATGATGTTTACTTTGAATTTATATTAGTTCACACAAACACTCCATCCATGCTTTTGTTCCGGCCCTCCGGTCCAGTTTAAGAACCCATTGTGGCCCTCGAGTCAAAAAGTTTGCCCACCCCTGAACTGGACAGACAGACCTCATAGAGAGGGCCACCTGACAGAAGCCGTAGCTTTCATTCTAGGGATGCAGCCAGTCAACAGTGACCTGCAGAGAGGAAACCGAGGGATGTAAGACTCTGACCTCATTCTCACCACCATCCTCCCTCCTGCCCCTGCTCCCCATTGGCAGAACCCCCTGGAACCAGAGTCATTCTTCAGGGGCACAGAGCAGCAAGGAGAAGGGAGGAGAGTAGATCCACATGCTAGCTTTTCCTCCCAACTTACAAAAACACTCTTGACCTGTGTCAAATTATTAGTGTATCCTCTCCATCACAACAAAATTCCTTGAATGAGTGATCTTTGCTTATCATCTCCAATTCTTCTCCTCCCTTTCTCACTTGAACTCCTTCCAACCAGGCTTTCACTGTCAGCATCACTTCAGCTGCGTTTGTCAAGGTCACCAGCTGCCAAATATACTCTCCATTCTCAGGCCTCCTCTTACGTGACCTCTCCACAGCATCTGAACACAGCTGCGTATTCCCTTCTCCTCGGAACACTTTCTTACCTTGGCTTCCAGGACACTACACCCTAGTGGGCCTCTCCCACCTCCCAGGCCACTCCTTCTCATGCTGCTTCAATGGTTTATCCTGTTTCCCAGTATCTAAATCTTGAAGCCACAAAGCTCAGTGCTTGCACTTAAAAATTCAGTTGATTTAAAGAAAAAATTGATAGGGATAGTAAAAGGATGTGGCAAAATCATTAAAGTCATATAGGAGTGAATGACCCTGGGGAAACACCATGGCAGGCGGACAAACATCAAAGGAGACAAGGAGAGAGGAGCGAGTGCATGGGGTTGAAAAGCTGATCCCTCCTGCCCCCATCTCCTCTCTCTCCCACTCTAGGACAGAAATGTGAGCTGTGGCTCTGCGGCTGTGCCTTCACTCTCGCCGACGTCCTTCTGGGAGCCACCCTGCACCGCCTCAAGTTCCTGGGACTGTCCAAGAAATACTGGGAGGACGGCAGCCGGCCCAACCTGCAGTCCTTCTTTGAGAGGGTCCAGAAGCGCTTTGCCTTCCGGAAAGTTCTCGGCGACATTCATACCACCCTGCTATCGGCCGTCATCCCCAATGCATTCCGGCTGGTCAAGCGGAAACCGCCATCTTTCTTTGGGGCCTCCTTCCTCATGGGCTCCCTGGGCGGGATGGGCTATTTTGCCTACTGGTACCTCAAGAAAAAATACATCTAGAGCTGAGCCAGGCCTGGGCTTGGTGTCTGACTGTCAGTGTCTCTGTGCTGTGTGATTCCCAATGAGCTCTCAGTAATGCACTGTCTCATGAACACTTGAACAGCCCCTCCCCCACCCCTTGTTCGGAGTAATTCTATTGTCAGTGTGAAAACATTCCATAGTTTAGAAGTAGACATTGCCAATGCCGTGAGTTGAAGCCACGGCTCTACTAACAGAGAGAAAGAGTGAGAGAGAGAACAGAAACAAAGCACGGATGCCTTTTCTTTTGATTCAAGGTCTCAAGATGGAACTGTGGGGACTGGTTAGGATCTGAGGTGAGTCCCAGGCCATTTCACCCATCAGGGCCCAGATTCTGGGAGGTGCTGGGGGCTCTGAGGGCCTGACCCCTCGCCTCCCCTTCCCTCTTGCCCAGGGAACTTTCCACAGGACAAAGCCAACATCAAGACTCAACTCTCCTAAGTGGTACCTCTGGGTGGGGCTAGAGACCCGGAGACGCCATGGGAGGCCCGTGAAGATCAGAAGGGACTTCATTCTTCTCCTGGACACGGACTGAGACAGCAGTGGCTCAAGCCAAGGCAGTGGCACCCAACCACCAAACCAGGACTAGGACGGACACCATGAGCACACCCTCATTCCCCTCCTGCTGTGGCCAGTGAGTTTGGTTTGGCACTCTACCAGTAATCCCTGAAGGCAGCATCCATCATCCTCTTCCCACCTGGAGCTAATTTTTCCCATCATGTGAGGTGGACTTTCAGCAAATGGCTTTCACAGTTCACAGTCTTAGAAGGTCAGTCCGGCCCGAGTGCAGGGTGGGTCTGGAGGTAGATGAACCTCAAGTCCCTCCCCTAGCCTCTGCCAAAGCCATCCCCTTTAATGCCCACCAGTCCCATCACTTGTGGGGTGCCTCGCATGCCCCACCATGCCACGCAGGGGGATCTCCTCACCTTTGCTGCCCACCCTGGTCCTGTCTCACTTTCCTGTGCCTTTTGCATGTTGGGAGAAGGTCTGAGTGTCACTGCCATTCATGCTTAGAAACCACTGAAAGCCCCCAATAAAGCATCCAGGAGAAGCAGTTGCTTTTCATTTGTAAACTTGTGTTGTTCATCTAGCTCTCATTTCCAAAGGCTGGGATCAGAGGGGTGGAGACACAAGATTCAGCATCCGTGAGTTCAGGTTTCAAGTTGATGAGTGTAGGGATGGCTCCTGGATAGACTTTGCAAAGTTCTGCTCTTGACATAAACCCACCTCACTTGGACAGTGCTTCACAGTTTACAGAGCATGCTCACAGTCATTTGCTTATGTACATGGACTGTCAGGGGACTCCCAGGGCACATGTCCTCACAATTTCCCAGAGTAAAATGTGTTCAAATGCCCCAAGATCATTAAACCAGAGGTATAATTTGTGGAACATAAGGCATAGTTTTATTTATTTTATTAAAATGTATAAGAATTTTTTTCCATCAAAATGAAAAGAAAAAAATAGCCAGGGCCAAGACAGGGCAAGCATTTAGATACTTGAGGCATTATCTAACACTATCCACCCCTTGGTTACTTAAACATCCACGCAGACCCTCCCACTCATAATTAAACTCCACTCAAAGATAATAACATCATGCTTAATTCTAATGGGACCAATGCTCTCCTGAAATGAGGATACAAATTCTCTCTAAAAATGAGACCCACAAAGCCCCACCCGTCAGTAACATCACTCTGGATGATGTCAGAGTCTCTTTTTGGTCCACCTCTAGTCCCAGAGATCACTAGCACACCTCAATATACTGTAATATATAGATTACAACATCAATTTAACCATCACCAGTAATCCTTATATGCAATATATATACGTATATGACAAGCAGGAAAGAAAACACTCATAGTTGCTTCAGCCCTCATTTCTGTAACTGATCCCAAGACCATTGTTGATATTTATAATTTCTCTTTTTTTCCACTAGCTATTCTATGTTTTGATTTTTTTTGTTTCCCCCAGCCTGGACCTCATGTTTAGGGTATTTTATTGGTGAAATGATTCAGACTTGGGCTGTTGTAGTCTCCTATTAATCTTTTGCTGTTGGATGTGGAAGTATAACAGGGCACCCAGAGAATCTTCTAGTTCCCATATAGTCTTCCATGCCACCACTGTAGCAGCAATCCAATTTACTCTTGGTGATCAGACCAATCATGCCAGCCAGTAGAGTAACCTACTTCTTTGCTTATAGTTGCAATGGTACGAGTAGCTCAAAATGACTGAGTGGCAATCAATGTTTTCCTTAATAGAAGTATTCCTTCCTTGAGAACTATAATATCTAGCCATCAAAGTACAAAGTTTCAGGGATGGAAAGCAACATTTTTGTGAATGGGTTATTTTGTGCAATAGGGAAAGTATTTCCACCTCAGCATTGCTGGATCCATGTTTCCTGCATGTGGAGAAACAGCATTATGGTTGGTACAAAGTATATGATGTGTCCTGTAGACAGCATCCCAACATTGCAGTGTCTCCCAGCTGGCCCTATAAGGGAATCTTCATTAGGCCGTCTCAATTTCCTATAAGTCTGTTGTTTCTAGATAAGACCAGAAAATTCCATAGGTATAATCACATGGCTACATTTATTTTGCTGTAATGTCACCTCTTTGGTCAGAAGCAGTATTGTATGGAATATCAAGACTGGAACCAAGGTGTCTGTGCATGTGGTCAAAGAAGGCAAACCCATACGCAGAATATACAAATTGCTGCTCCCTGCGTGATGGAAGAGGTCAATGTAATCAACCTGCCACTAGGTGGGGAATGGTGCCTGACATCTACAGAACAAGTCATCTGGTTCACCTATTTATTGAGAGTCTCCTCTGAAGTGGGTTTCTTAGGGGAAATATTTGCCTAAAATACAATTATCCTCTTCTTCTGTATCCACTGTTAAAGATCCATCTACATACCTTCTCTCACAGACTTCCTTATTACCAATCCTCCAATCCTGATCATACAAACAATCCATCCCATGAATATGTGTAGATCCATATTTCTGAACTTCTATCTCCATCTAGATAGACAACCCTATGTAGAGTTGTCCCTCATTATTTGTGGGGGATTGGTTTCAGGACCCCTCACGAATACCAAAATCCATGCATGCTTGTAATTATATAAAATGACATAGTATTTGCATATAACCTACATTCTTCCTCTTGTCTGCTTTAAATCATCTCTAGATTACTTATAACACCTAATACAATGTAAATGCTATATGAATAGTTGTTATACTGTATTGTTTAGAGAATAATGAAAAGGAAAAAAAGTCTGTATGTGTTCAGTACAGATGCAGCCATCGTAGGCCTAACTACACAATACATATCAACAACAGTGTGCCCTGGCCAAGTAGCTCAGTTGGTTAGAGCATTGTCCTGATATACCAAGGTTGCAGGTTCGATCTCCAGTCAGGGCACATACAAAAAGCAACCAATGAATGCATAAATAAGTGGAACAAGTCAATGATTCTCTCCTCTCTCTCTCTCTCTCTCTCTCTCTCTCTCTCCCTCCCTCCCTCCCTCCCTCCCTCTCCCTCTCTAAAATCAATTTTTTTAAAGTAACATTTCCTCCCAAATATTTTGATCCCTAGTTGGTTGAATCTGCAGGTGCAAAACCTGCAGATATGGAGGGCCGACTGTATTGCTTGAAGTTCTGTTCACTGAAAGGATTTCCCTTCTCCAATGTCTTTCAGGGCCTTCCTATAGTGCTGCAACCATCCACTTCCAATTGGTTCCAAGCCTGAGCTTTCTCTTCCTCCATCAATTGATCACAGGGTATTTGTTATGGGGCCTTAGGTATTGACTGAGGAAGAGAGGGCAATGTGGTAGGAATAGGTGACAGTCTCACTTGATAGAATGCTGCGGTACATGTCTAGCTTTATAGCTTGATGGATCAGATGACAACCAGTCCATGATGGGCAGTTCAGATTGCATAGTCACTTGGTGTCTCATGGTCAGGTATTAGGTCTCTACCACAGCCCAGTAGCAAGCAAGACACTATATATTTTTTTTTTTTAAATATATTTTATTGATTTTTTACAGAGAGGAAGGGAGAGAGATAGAGAGTTAGAAACATCGATGAGAGAGAAACATCGATCAGCTGCCTCCTGCACATCTCCTACTGGGGATGTGCCCGCAACCAAGGCACATGCCCCTGACCGGAATCGAACCTGGGACCTTTCAGTCCGCAGGCTGACGCTCTATCCACTGAGCCAAACCGGTCTCGGCAAGACACTATATTTTAAAGGAATAATTGTTATTTGTAGAAGAAGACATGACTTTGTTCCAAGTTCTAGGGATGGGCAGGGATTTTCCTATTAGGGCTTGCTGGGGGCTAAAAGGAAATGTAAATTTTAAATATCACAGACAACTTAAAACACCATTGGATCGACTGGGTCGTGTGGCTCAATTGGCAGAGCATCTTGCACTGCAGCCTAAATCTGCTTTGGGACCCATTCAAAATTGGCTGTCCTATGTGTGGGTTACTCAGTGAATGGGTTGGAGCAGCACACAATTGCATGCACATTCCCTCCCCAATCCAGAGGGCTACCAGTTGTGCTTTTTTCTTAGGGACCAGCAGCTTGCCTTTTACTTGGAAGGGATAACCTGGCGTTTCCTAACCTGTAAGTCCCTAGAAGCTTCACCAAGGTGCCAGGCTTCTGAATGTCCATGGGGTTCATATACCACCCTGACATGCCTGGGTCTTCCGAAAGCATCTGGTGCACCTGCTCTCTCCTGCTCACCGGGTACAGCCTGATGTCGTCAATGTGGTGGATCAGTGTTTTCTTAAAGGGACATCAGGATAATCCAGGTCTCTACAGACTAGATCAGCAGTCGCCAATCTTCCAGACTTCCCGGACCGCCAGTGGTCCACGGACCACCGGCTGGCGACTGCTGCTCCAAAGGTTTCCTTAAACCAGTGGTTGCCAACCTTTCAGACCTCACAGACCGCCAGTGATCCGCAGACCACCATTTGGCGACTGCTGGACTAGATGATGACAGAGAACAGAAAAGCTGACATGCACTGTAAGAAAGTGAAGATATGCTGCTTACTGCTGCCCTGCCGAGTAGAGCTAAGGGCTTTTGGTGGCCCCCACTGATAGGAGAACATTTTCCAGACCAAGAGCTGAATGCTAAGTGTCAGAGACGATGCCGATTTGCTTTTATATAGAAACCACATCCGAAAAAATTGTACCACCTGATGGAGTTACAATGCCCAGGCTTATGAGAGAGACATTCATTAGGTAAAGATAAATCTCCTCAATAATAAGCAGCCCTCAAAGATGCCCGATATTTTAAAGCTTATAAAATAGTTTCCCTGGGTGGGGGGGTCATGAGGGGATGAGGTCACATATCACATATGTAATACCTTAATCAATTAAGAAATAAAGATTGAAAAAAATATATTGTCCCATCTATGATTTCATTAAGCCAGTCAAAGACTAGTGAGGTAGAAAGAATTATCCCCCTTTCATAGATGAGTAACAAGCCCAGAAAAGCTAAGTTACTTGCCTAAGGTCACACAGCTGAGGAGTTGGTAGGCAGGATTTGGCTGCAGTCCACTTGCTCAAGTCCAATGCCTCTTAAACTCCAGATGAGAGTCCATTTATACCCCACCCACTCACCCCTGCCTCAGTCCCCAGCTGCACAGGGATACCTGGCAAACACAGCATGCTCAGTCAAAGCAAGCAGAGGCAAGAAGGGATGAAAGGAGTGGTTGGGAAATGGGCCACAGCAGCCTGGTAGGGCAAGGCCTGAATAACTTTGCTCCAGTAATTAAGATGCTAATCAGGGTGGCTCCCAGGCACCCCTACCTACTTACCTCCTGAGCACTCAGACACACATTCCCCAGGCAGCCAAAGCAGAGAAGACAGGGGAAGTAACAAGGCTTCATGATAAGGCTTCCAGTCAGTCTCCCCAAAATATTCAGCCTGGAAACCAAGACCAGGCAGCCCTTGGATTGCCTGTGAATGGACAGCACCTCAAACGGGGGGTAAAAAAGGGGAATGCTTTACTTTGGCCAAAAGGACCCCATGGATATACGACTATCCTTTCCTTTTAGCTCTCCTGGAAAACTTGTCTCTTGCTCTCCCTCACCCTCTAGTTAATCTGGAAACTAGAATGCTGCCTTAGAGACTCCGTTCCCATGCTAGATCCCTGGGACATGGCCTTCCCCATTTATTGACTACATTTTAACTACCTCTGAGTGGATCAAAATGGAAACACCTACAGGAATGGGGTTTCTCTGTCCTGATTTTAAAGTGGTTACAATAATGAGGGCACATTAGGGACTTACTGTGCACTTGAAAGACATTTATATAGCACCACATATATACTAGGTCCTATTCTAAGACTTTACAAGTATCAATTCAATTAGTCCTCACAACAGCTATATGAGGTAGGTACTTATATTACCCCATTTTACAGATGAGGAAACCAAGGCCTAGATGTTAAGGAACTGTTGAAGGTGACACAGCCAGTGTGTATGGCACAGCCAGATTAGAACCCAGGCAGTCTGGCTTGAGTCCATGCCAACCTCCCCCACTCCTTCGCTTGTCTGAGAGCTTTGTGTAAATCATCTCTGCCTGAGCTGTGACAATGTTAGGGCAGTTGGGGGGCACTCTGCTTCTGAGCCCAGCACCCTGTTTGGAGTTGCTCATTTTATTGTCTGTGCCCAACTAGAGTGTAAACCCCCTGAAAGCACCATGTATCTTCAAATGAATGCGGTGCCTAGCACAGTGCCTGGTTTACTTGAAGCTCCTCAATTACTGGAGCAGTGAATGTTGAAAGAGGTGAGGCACTATCATCCCCATTTACAGAGGCTCAGAAACTAACTTGTTTGAGGGCACACAGCTGTAAGTTACAGTCAGCACAAAACCAAGTCTTCCTACCATCAGATTCCACACTAAATATAACATTTATTCTTTGTGGTGACTGCATTATATTGCTAATACAGAGTTACCATAATTTATTTAACTGATTGGCATTTGAGCTGGCAAATTTTCACTGTAACAGAGCTGCATAAGAACTTTGTACTTATCTTTGTCCACTTCTACAAGCATTTCCATAGCCCAAATTCTAGACTGAGATTGTTGGGTCTACACAGTTCAAGTTTGGATACTACTAGGTTATCATTTAAACAGGTTGTACCAATTTACCACCACACCCCAAGGTACGAGAGTACCTGTTTTCTGTGCTGTGTGTTCAACTTTAAAACTTGCCAGAGGGGACAATTTCTGAAGATGACTATACTGCACAGGGTTTCTCTTAACAGACACTACCTTCTCCTTAATAGCTATGAAAAATGGTTTGATTTTGGAGACTTTTTAAAAAGGCTTCTATAGGTCACCCCTCTGGGAACTAGGTTCAGCTTCCCATGTCCAGAAACCCCGTAGGAACCCATGCAAAGGTCTGAACGACAACAGGCTGCCAACGCAGAGAAAAGGGGGTGGGGGGGCTGTGATAAGTGCATCTAGAGGGCCGCTCCTCCGTCACTCACCCAGGAAACCAGCTGCCACCTCAGCTCTGAGTGGGAGTTTCTTTTCACGTTGTTTCCTAAAATAAAGTCATAACCAGCTTGGAAGAACTTGTCATCAAACAGCACAGAGAAACAGAATAGAGTAGGAGAGTTGGTGAGGTTGTTCAGTCCACTACCATCATCAGCTACGGAAATGGAGGCCCAGAGATGTTTAGTCATTGATTCAAGGTCACACAGAAAATCCGAAAAAGCAGTGGTGGGAGCCGGCTCAAACAGTCCTGTCAGTCTGCCTTCCTTCCATCTCCGTGGCTTTTGAAAATGATGGGAGAGTTAGGTTTCTTGAGAAGGGACATCTGAGTGAAAATTATGGCAGCATAGCTATGTGTCCTTGGGCATGCTGTTCTTGCTTCCTTGGAAGCCCTTCTCTGTCTAACTGCTTGAACTCCTCCTCATCCTTCAAGACCCAAAAGAATTGTTAGGTTCTGTGAAAACATTCCCTCATTTCCCAGCGCAGCGGGTTGTCCATTGCTTTATGTTCCCCTGCCCTGACCTTAACCAGCACTCAGACACTTTATGGTGAAAATTCCTTGAAGGAATGGGTGTATCTAATTTACCTTTGCAGCCCCAGCACACACCTTAGGCTCCAAAGGGACTGACTTCGGACCACAAAATCCAAGAGGGAGGGAATCTATCATCCTT